GGTCTGAAAAATGGCAAGCAACATGAGAAAAAGAAGTTTGATAGAGTTGGGACTGTGTGATCTAGACGAAGAAATGCTTATCTTGCTGAAATACCAGCGAGAGCATAAAAGGAGACAGCGACATCGGTGGGATGTCCGTCCGCTAAACAGGTCTAGGCAGACAACAGGCGAATGGCGTCATGAAGGAAGTGATCTCAGGTTTCTGGACCGACCAATCACAAGCATGCGTTCTCTGTCTCATTCGACGGGTGTTAGGAAAAGTGGGCTCGACTCCGTACGAACTTGCGTGCCTGCCGGGGGGCCTATGCAAGGATGGATAATGGCGTTGCGTGTCTCCGCACTGAAGCATGACTCAGGCTAAACACTGGAGGTGTCTTACCCACAGTCCATTGCTGCGGGAGAATAGGCTCAAGCTCCTTTTCTGAAAATATGCATTTTCAAATGAAAGTAGTTAATTTTAGGACGATTAGTTGATGCTCTAAAACATTTAACCAAAGCAGCAATGAATGTATAAATATTTCAAATAATTGCTTGATTATTTGAAAGTTGTTAATGTTTTTTTTTTTGAGTAACACAGCGACCAGCATCCTGGCATGCATTGCGATCGATTACGCAATGCTCCCTGTCTCAATTCGGCAAGTATTACTTGTTTACCACGCACTCAAAGCCTTACTGCTCACTTCCTCCAAGGTAACTTTACTGAAGACCACAGTGACAGTATTGGGATCGGGCCTTCGACTGACAGACCATTTAGGATCAGGAACCTGTTGCAGGTGTTTTGGATTCATTGGCTGATTAGAGTGTGGCATCGATTGCTGCAACCCAAAACAACAAGAGTGACATTTACTCCACTTGAATATGGTGAAAGAGATTGAGAATGCAGCAGTAAGACTGAAACGTGTAATGTGATGTTTTCAGACACATTGGCAGAGGCAATGTTTGTCCAGTTTGTAACCATTTAAGACAGGGATGTCCAAAGTGTGGCCCAGGGGCTATTTCTGACCATCCGAGCAATTTTGTACGGCCCCCTTGAATTTCTAGAATGATGAATTTTGTCTCTCCAATAGGATGTGGATATAGATCACCACTTTCTAAAATGTTTATGATCAGACTTTTACTTACAAGCCAATTTCGGATTTATTTTGAGGAGTACAAATTAAAACAATTATATAAAATACTATTTTTAAATTAAGAAAATCACATTCTTGTGCCCCCCACTGACCTCAAACATGACTTTTTTGGCCCTCGTCTTGAAAAGTTTGGACATCCCTGATTTAAGGACTCTAGATGGTGAGAGGATTTTAAAAGGAACTCTGGTTATGAGGAGGTGTATGTCCTAATAAGCCACACGTTTTCTTTTGTACCAAAATATGTTGTTAGAAACACACAATATATTGCTGTTTATTTATAAATATTATTTAATTATTTATTCAATATTTATATTTATTTATAATATTTAGTACATTTTTGACATACGTAGGACGCCATGTTTTTGGCACGCAATGCACTCTGGGGGCGATGACGTATATTGATTGCTCTTGGAAGAATAGCTATTGACGCTAGTGTTTGTTTACGCGCTCCTCGTATTAATAACTAAGTAAAATGCTGCATTGTGCTGCTTTTGGATGTAATTTCCAGTCAGAGGGCAACAAGGGGAGCGATGTGAGTCTAAATGGCAAGAAGAGGAGAAAGCAATGGGAAGATGCCTGTGGACGGACACAACTTCCCAAAGATCCGCGGCTGTGTTCCCAACGTTTTTCTCCTGATGCGTTTGAGGCTTATAGTCGACCACAACTACTTAAAGAGCTCACCAGAATGGCTGGGTATAAGAGATGGCGGAAACTAAATGCTTTTCCGACCATTTTCCCACACAAGGAGCCTAAACACCCTTGGAGAGACAAGAGACGCTGGACGCTCTCCTGAGCCGACAACCCGCTCCCGCAGCTGCCGCTTCTGTCACGTTCAGCGAACCATCGTACTCCCGTCAGTAAAACAAGCAGTAAGTGTGGCAATCCAGTGTTCTCCAAATATATAATATCTGCAAAAATGATTAAAGTCGTTTCACTGAATATCCTAATCATCTATAAAGCGCACGACAGCTCTGGATGCTAATAATCTCCAAAATCATTCATAAATGAATAAGTTTGATCACACGATAGCTTACCGTTAACTTCTGCTGACACAAATGTGAGCACTCTCCCTCTCGGTTACCATGGAGACTCATTTGTCGCACAAGCACCACCGGTTTTGACCTGCTCTCGCTTCATCCTGCCCTTCTTGCTCTTCATGTTGACGCTCGTTTTGTGAAACACGGTCAGTGATGTCCTCATTAATGTTTCACTCTGGTTCAAATTGAAAAGGCTGAACAGATGACATGTTTATGTCACTGAACAGTCACTACAGGGTCCCAAAGCCGGCCTGTGCAACCGAGGTACTACCATGTGATGTCACTACCCAGCGTGCATTGCAACGCTAACAACAATGGCGACCTACGAGTTAATCGTGTTCAAATAAAATGTTTACCTGCTGCTTAAAAAAACCTGCATGAATAAATTCTGCTTACTGCTGAACAAAACCAGGTGCGTTTAAAAGTCCACTGCACTAACTTTGAGCCAGTGGGACCACTGTTGCTTCTGACCACCTCCAGATTCAAGCCACAGCTCACTGGTTCTATCTGGGCCAAAGAGGCTCTGAGGAACGCTTATGAATCAGGTCACAGTTCTCGGCCACACTTGGAGCTGAAACTGTGTCACTGCCAGAGAGCTGGAACAGAAACAGCACGTTTAGCAACAGGACATATTGCTAAATATTGGCTCTCTGGAAAGGATTTTTAGCTCTCTGAGGATAATTATCTGCAGATTTTGGCATTCAAAGTCTGATCAGGTGCATTTAGGAAGTTTTCTGTTTCTAGATTTGTTTCTGTGTCAGTTTCAGAGATCCAAGTACGAATCATCAGTTTGTGAGTATCTGCCGAAAGGAATGGAACCGAAAAGAACACATCCAAGTTGTCCTAAAAGTTTTTTTTTTATATTTTATTCATGTATGTTTTTTTTTCTATATTTCTGCTTCAATAATGTATCTCTCAAAAGCATCTTCAGGAAGTAGACCGATGAAAACATGTTAATGATAGGAATAAAAGCAGCCTTGTTGCTCATATTCCAAATGTTTATTTCCTCAAAGACGAGGCTTGCACATCACAGCCACAAGATCCCTCTTCCCACCTGCAGAGCCACATCTGTAAAGTTGTGATGAGGAGTTCTACCATGTGAAATACCCAGTTTGCACACATGCCTAGCAGCTCTTGCACTGCCTTTGCTGTCCAGTTTTAAATACGTCCAAACTGCATTTTTGCTATTCTGAGGCAACACTTTACTTCTGCATTAGCCTGTTAGCTAACAGCTTCATGTTATGTATGTGTTGTCCGCCATGCAACGATGACTATTGATGACTCGCCCCATAATTAGAAGCTGGAAGGTTCGAGCCCCGCTCTGTTTGTTGCTATCATTGTGTCCTTGGGCAAGACACTTAACCCCACTTGCCTGTTGGTGGTGGTCGGTGGCGCCAGTGCTTGGCAGCCTCGCCTCTGTCAGTACGCCCCAGGGCAGCTGTGGCTACATTGTAGCTCATGCCCACCAGCGAGTGAATGTGTGTGTGAATGGGTGAATGACTGATTGTGTTGAAGCACTCTAGGTGCTACATCAAATACAGGCCATTTACCATTTACCATTGTTTTATCAATCAAATGATAAATGAGCCGCACTTGTGTCTTTCAGAGTCAGAGGACTACAAAGTGCTTTACACTACAGTGTATCATTCATCCATGCACACATTTACATGCTGATGAGCTACATTTTACCCACAGCTGCCCTGGGGCACACTGACAGAGGCGAGGCATTAAGTCTGAGCATTTGAAAATCATTACGATTGTATAGATTTTTAATTGTCCGACCAGATGAGTTTTTACTTCTTAAGATTTAAACTAGGCTGCACAGTGGTGCAGTGGCTAGTGCTGTTGCCTTGCAGCAAAAAGGTGCTTGGTTCAAATCCCATCCTGCAAGGAGTTTCTCCCTGTGAACACGTGGGTTCTCTCTGGGTACTCTGGCTTCCTCCCGCAGTCCAAAACCATGACTGTCAAGTTGATTGGCATCTCTAAATTTTCCTTAGGCGTGAGTGTGTGTGCTTGGTTGTTTGTCCTGTATATCTCTGTGTTGCCCTGCGATGGACTAGCAACCTGTCCAGGGTGTACCCCGCCTGCTTGCCCGGAGACTGCTGGAAATAGGCACCTGCCCCCACGACCCTGCATGGACACGCTGGTATTGACATGGATGGATGGAAGATTTTAAACTAGTGAAAATCAGAGAATTAGTAATTTTTCTGTACATAAAGGTTTTTGTTACCCAGACAGCTCTCCTTTTCTATCTGGTCCATCGTTTTGATCCATATTGTAAATATTTAAAAATATGAGCTATTTCTCACATGAAATCCTAATTTTTAGCATTTTAACTATTTTTTTTAGTTTTATGCTCTTTGTATGAACTAAATCAAGTGCATGTATTCAGATACAGAGTTCTAATCCTAAAGCTGAGGTAGTGACCTTGTATCTGTGACCACAGAGTAAAGAGAAGAACCTTTTGGATGTTATGATGTTTGACCGGAGTCCTGCTTTAGCAGCAGGTGAGGACAACCTACCCTCTGATGGGATGAACACCTGAGATTTTAGGATTAATATAAAGCCAGTCATTAAAAACAAACAAAGAAGTAAAAAGTCTAGTCTTATTACACTAAACAAAACATGTGGTTTAGTTTTATGTAATCATCAGAATGTGTCTTCATTTAGATTAACTGAATAATCGTGTCACAGTGAGAGCTTGATTGCATGACACACTGTTTATAAAATCCTCCCAGCACGCCTCATTATCACACATGTCGGATAATTAACAACGTTTTCTTCCCATCTCCGCATCCTGCACGGAAAAGGCACAGAGTTTTGCGCCACCTACCCGAGCCGAACGCCTTGGCCACCAGCCACGTCAGGCTGCAGGAGATCTTGGCCCTGGTGAAGTCGTAGTGGTCAAAGCTTTTGATGGCAGGGACGATGAAAGTCCTCCTCATCCCTCTGTCGTCTGCAGCATCTCCCATCGTCCTGCTGTGCGTGTGTGTGTGCGTCAGGCTCGGTCAGCCGGAGAAGCTCCTCCTGAATTCGGATGACATCGCGTCCAGAGGAATTCGATGCAGTGAATTTTTTTTTCTGCTGGAATAAAAATCTTTGGCTGGTGTTGGGGATCCTGACAGCTGAAGGTTTAAATTATCCCCATCTTTAGTTTTATGTCCGTCTGTTTCAGCCGCACACCGTGACAGCAGGGCGCAGTTCGGAGGCAGGATTTCTAGATTTCCTCTATTATTATCCTCAGGTTGTCCAACATAACGGAGCAGCAGAAGAAGGACAGCTACAATCCAGGTCCAGAGGACAGTCCCCGTCCCGGAGACAGAATACACAAGCTGCTTGAGTCCATGTTCTTCTCCCTTTTCTTTCCTAACTGTTTTCCCCTCCTTTTTTCTGCCTCTGCGCTTTTCCTGCCGCACCGATCAGAGGATGGGGCGCACTGCGCACGCGCGATCCACCCACCCGAGCCTTTTCATTCCTGACAAAAAAAAGTCAAACCGAGGCGGGGTTCGGTGTACGGACGCCTTCTGACTCAGTCCCAGGTGTTTTTCATAAAAGACGTTACTGACGCTCGAACTGATGACTCGTGACTTTTAGACAGAAATTTAAGGAAGTTTGGTGAGTTTAAACAGAAATTCAGTTTTATTTATATTTATTGACATTTTCAGAGTTAACTGGCCATTTTGTTCATGCCTTAAATAATTCCCAAAAATAGGCTATGTTGTGTTCGCTGTTTGAAAGTGATTACTCTAATTTCCCTCTGGGATTAATAAAGTACTTTAGAATTTTGAATAGAATTAGAATTAGCTACTTTTTTATATCAAAATTCGCATTTTTTCATTTGTATAATTCTGTTTATAAAATAGTTAGTGTGTGTTTTGGGGAGGGAGGCGGTGGTTGGGAATGAGATTATTTTAGTCTGCACTAAAATAACATTTATACTAATGTGAGTGAGGAAACGAACCACATTTTTACCATTGACTGTATAAATAATGGATAAACCCTCTGTCAGCACCAGTAGGTTTCTGAAGAACTGAACGGTGTATTCTACAGGTGACATCACAGCGCGAGTGCTGCTGGGTGCTCGTACTAGACAAACAAACCACATTGGCTAATTGAAAGAACATGGACAGAACACTTGGACGTCGATTAAAAAGAGCAGAATCAAAATTCAAACTTTTATGCTCAAACAGTTACTCGTTACTCACAGTGCTCAAGTAACATTTTCTCTAAGTTCTTTTATTTACTTTTAGGTTATTATTTGTGTCTGGTCAAAAGACTTTTCCGTCCACGTTTGGATGCTGTTTGGCTGCGATGGTCAGCTGGACTACTTCGTTTACATTGGGGCTTCCTCCTGGATACCTCCACCTCTGAGAGTGTTGCCAGTATCGGCTCTTCATTTTTAGACGTAGGACCTTTCCCACCAGCAAAATGCATGGAACCCCTTCATCTGCTCCATGCTGAAGATCTGCTCTTCCACCTAAATACTGCCAACCGCTTAGCTTCGTTTGTCTTTAGTTTGACCCATTTACCTTTTCATGTTGTTGTGGATGTTATACTTGGTTTTGGAAAATGGATAAAAAATGTCCCCTCCGACATCCGATCTGGGTATCAAAAGTCAGATTTACACCTCTCCCATGCTTGCTTGTCTAGGGCAACATCCCACAATGCATTGCAATGTTACATCATAACCTATTTATAGCTACTGTAGAATATGCTATTGAAGCCCAATAGATGGTTCCCACCACTGCCATCTTGGCCACATCACGCTTCTTGTCACACTTGGACAAATCAAAATTGAGAGTGGGTCTGTGAGGGTGAGAAGAGAACACCATTAAAATCTGAGCTGATGTAGCTCAAGCTAACTGAGCTAACAGAGGTTGGAGCTTCAAGCCAGAAAACCAGTTTGTCTTCTAGGCTGTAACATTTTTAACGTGAGGCTGAGGCCTCTAGGTGTTAGTGCTGACCGCTCATCTTCTATCTGTCAATCAAATGGATTCAATTTGATTTAAGTTTATTTATATAGCGCCAAATCACGACAAGAGTTGTTTCAAGGGACTTCACACAGTAAACATTCCAATGCAGGTTAGTTCATTAAGCCAATCAGTGAAAATTTTCCTATATAAGGAACCCAGCAAATCACATCGAGTCACTGACTAGTGTGACTCGTGACTAGAGTCTTTACAGCAATCCTCATACCAAGAAAGCATTTAGCAACAGTGGGGAGGAAAACCCCCTTTTAACAGGAAGAAATCTCCAGAGGATCCTGGCTCAGTATAAGCAGCCATCCACCACGACTCACTGGGGATCGAGAAGACAGAGCACACGCACGCACGCACGCACACCATGTATACCAAGTAGTGTTTCTATGGTTACATTGTGATTTCTTAGTAAATGTTTTATTTAATAAGAGATAAACTTTATTGTATTTATCTTAGTGAATCTATAATTAATTCAACAGGTAAACTAGTAGTAGCACATTCAATGTCAAAGAAAGTAAAATGTTATTATCAGGAGAGGGAGAATGTTTAAGTGACACACCCCTAAATATTCTTAATTTCAAGCTTCAATCACATCGTATCAGATGAGTCACAGAAATATTCACTCCCCTAAAGGCGGTCGGAAACTGTGCAACCTTTTGACTTTTGTTAGCCGATTTTCCACTCAACAGCACCTCACGACCAGCTCCCGATCAGCAATCCTGTCCTTACACAAATTTCAGGCCTGTTTGATATTTTGCTCGTCCCTCGTGAGGGTATCGCACTGATGAAGCAGTTCTCCAACCCAAAAGTAGCAGGACCGCTCACAGCGCATGCGTCAACCCAGATCCACGGGTATTTCTGTGTCAACAAATGTAAACAAGGTTTACTGCAATCAAAAACAGTTTCATTAAAGATCACATCTTGAAGATTGTTTTAATATCAAGAATCACAAGTGCCAAATGTGTGCTTTTTGATTTTAAATAACTTCCACATGTTCATTTTTGTGTAAAATTTATTATGAATATAAGACTTTAAAGCTTTTTCATGCCTAAAACCCAGAACCTATGCTGCTGGATGAGACTGCAGTTCAGATCCAGTGTGAGGAAGCACCCTAGTGTTCACAGAGAGCTGACACAGCTAAAACAAAAATCACACAGTGCAAATCATATTTGTTTCCAGTAGATGGCAGTCCTCCATTAAAAATAAATTCCCTGACCACAGTGCCTAACCCCCAGCTTCTACATTTTAGTTTTAGGAAAACGAACACAAAACTGATCCCACAAATCCCAAGAATACATATTTTTGTTCCTGCTCAGCTTAAACTCACCCATCATTGCTTAAACTTCCACCCACAGTCATTGTTGAGTCATTACCGATCATTACGTAGTTAGCATTTTCAATGTGAATGTTTGCCTGCGGGGGCCACAGAGCTCTGCCATCGCCACCCTCACGGGAGCTGAGAAGATGTTGTTGCTCCATGCAACGCCTGTCGACTTCCTGTAAACTCAAACGGTTCAGTCTCCTCACTCTCTGCTCCTCGGTCCAGATGCTCCTCTGCTTTTTAATCCTTGCTGGGGTTAGAGCCTTTTGTAGTTTTTTCTCAAAGTTCTTCTTCTCCTCCAGGGGTACTAATGTTTGCAGAACGATGGGGATGTCTGGCCTGGGTACGCAGTTGTTCTCCGGCAGCAGAGGGATAACCGTGTTAAACTTGTGTGTCTTGTTGATGGAGTTGATGAGGGCGATGTTCGTCTTCATCTCCAACATTTTTGTGTTGAAGTTGCGCGTAAGCAGCAGGAAGGTGAAGGCTGAGTTGTTAATGGCGTCTTCCACACACTTCAGGGTGCTCTTTCCAGGAACAGCAAATTCCTCTGAGAAAGTTGCACCTTCGCCGCTGATGGCCTTTTCAAGCTTTTCTTTGATGTTCTCGGCCTGCTCTGCATCCGCTGGGGCGTGCAGAATAACAAATGCATAAAAGATTTCCTCGTCCTCCTCCTCTTCTGTGTCATAAAGGCTTTTTGGAACAGATATCTTGGGGGAAATTGTGCTTTTTGCACATGGTAGGGTGATTTTTGTCTCCGTGCTTGACTCGTTTGGCTGCACAGATCTCTCGTTTTGCACAACATTGCTTTGCGAGCTACTGCTCATTGATTTTAATGTTTCATCTGTCATCGAGCTACTCTCTGCTCCTAACAGAGACCGTTCAGTTGGTGTATTCAGTAGAGCAGGAGACTGAGCCTGTCCTGGTGCTAGATTTGTTTCAGTACAAATGTCTGGTGTAGAGTTTGGTTTTGCTGCAGCTCTTTTGTCCTCTTGAAATGAAACTGTTGGAGGAATACTTATCTCCAGATGAGTCGGGTACGACACCTCTGAGGGACTCTCTTGCAGAGTGCTGGGGAGACGGGGAACACTCGATGACTCATCCTGAGAAATAGATGCCTTCAAAGATGTATTTTCACCATCTGGGAGTTCAGCAGTGGAGCACATCTCTTCCACTAACTGAGGCCCACAAACAACTTTGGCTTCCTCTAGGAAGTACTCCAAATGACTACAGTTCCTCGTCGTGCAGTCACTGGAAATGGCTCTCCTATAAGCCAAATTCCTCATCAGTGGCTCACACAACCTCTGCTCTGACAAAACTTTAAAAACCCGAGCCAACAGTGACAAAGATTCCATCGTGTGTGTTTGAAATTGGCCACAGTGATTCCCAAAACCGTCCAGTTTACCACCACTTGTGTGACACTTTTCAGACAGATGGTTAGCGAGAGGGTTGTCCCTCAGCATCTGGAGTTTCTTCAGGGCTTGTTCCTCCCTCTGGAGGATGAGCAGAGACATGGCCACCACAATAATGTCTTCAGGAGACTCACCCAGCTGGATAGTCAGGCTGATCAATCGCTCAGACGGAGTCTTCGCCAGAATATCAAAGACGTCTCCCAATCCCGTTCCTTGGTTTTCCCATTCAGTGTCACTCATTTTCAGGTTTATTTACCAAGAAATCACATGGGGCTTTTTAAATGGAGTCTTCAGGAGAAAGTTTCTTGGATGTTCTTGTATCTTTATATTGAAATAAAAACAGAAATGTGGTCAAAGATAAATAATTTAATTGATTTTCCATTAAAGACGTCCGCCAGCATGGTTTGACAGCAGCCGTGTGTCAGTTTCAGTTTGTTTGCCTTCTGCTCAGATAAGGAAGTAACTCTAGATAGTTTCTGTTCCAGCTTACTTCAGCTTGTAAAACTCTTTTCTACCTCTAAAAAAGCTCCAACCAAACATTTATCACTGACCTGTTGGGACACCAATAGGTTCTTCAAGGCGTTTGACTTTTCTGCAAACTCTTGAAGCTCATTGTAACATTGCCTGTACCTGTTACGGGTACAGGCCTGTTAGCTTGAAGGAATTCTGCAGAACAGAGTCCTGACGTCACCAGCTGTGGAGTACGGAGGTTCAAGAGGGACAAAAAAAAAACAAAAGCAGGAGTAGGATTTTGTTAACAGCAGATCCCAATAGAATGAAACCGTATCAATCAGAGGAGTTTGTGTTCTTTACGATCTGTATGAGATTTTTCATATTTTACAAACAAAAAGGCACCCCCATTTCTCTGAGCACAATGGCTGCACATGACAGGAGAATTCCTTTTTCCTCCCTCCATAGAGGCGGGCGTATTTTTATCCACGAAGGAAAACCTTCAACCCTGTATTTACCAGGGGTGGGGTCACAGCTGGCGGAGTGCACACCAACATCAAATCCCTGAGCGCAGCGCAGACAGAAAACCTCTGTGCTCAAAGCGCTGAACGCAGCGTGATGTGTGTACTGTACCGTCACCTCTGCAGGATAAGTGTTACTATATAGGAAGTGTGGTTTCTACACTATAAATGTGACTATTGTAAGATCAACATCACATTCCTTTAAAGTTGAAAAAATCTTCCTGGCTCAGCAGAGATTTATGTTGCAGCTCATGCCGCTAAAACCCCAGCTCTTCTATTTTAACCAGAGAGTCAACGCCAAACCCTCCAAAAAATAAACTCTCAAAACCTTCAGATGGAGACCTTTCAAACACTTTTAAATTGGACTTTCCTGCTGTTTTTAACTGAAAATATTTAATTACTAATTATGATTTAGAAGAGTCCAAACAAGAGCCAAAACCATTCTGTTAATAGTCCTCGTGGGCCACATTCTGTAAATGTGATACGGTATTTTTGTTTCTACATAAAATGCAAAAATGATTATATGGCATTTCTTTTTTCCTGTGTGTGCTCCTAAAATAGGGCCAAAATAGGCATTTTAGTAAGAATATGGATAAAAAAATGTTTATCCACATCAACAACCTAATCAAAAGTTAAAAAACACCATTCTAGAAATCTTTGCTTTGTACGATGTAACCATAAAAATCATGTCTAAAGTGGTGGGATTAGCATCTTTGGGGGACGCCATATTAGACGCCATCCTTCTCAGGGCTCTGCACTGCGCCTGTTGATGACGTCACACTAGGTGATTGGCTGTTATATTGCCATGTTCGAAAACATTTACGCAGCAAAAAACATGAATTTAATAATAAAACTGCTAAACTCTTTCCCAAACGTAAATAGAGTTGGGCGATGGGATGAATTATTCGACCGTCAGCGATGGGCTGAGCCGTTACGATCGTTTTTAGAAGAGGCAATTTGTTTATTTGTTTGTTTGGCTGTGCGTAACTTTGTTTATGGCATATTTTTCATTTGGAGAAATGTTTCCTGATTTAAAACTTTGGCTTAAGTAGTGCTCGTCATGCAGCACCTGCTTCAAGTGTGTCTGCGGCGTGCGGATTCATCCAGAATAACATTTAAACATCCATGAGTCTGTTTGAGGCAAAAGTCCAGAACTTCATAACCTCTTCAGCAAGCTCCCTAGAGACATTTGATTGCGCACAAGCTGCTAGTGATCAGCTCAGGTTTATGTGGAGCAGAGGGAATGTGTGTTCGGGCCGCAGCAGGTGAAATGTTCCTAATTTAAAGAGCAAGTCACCCCCCTGCCAGAGTCTTACTCCACTCCCACTTCCTGTTTGAAAGTGATCGATTCAGCCCCAGGGGTGTAAACCACGGGAATTGCAGCAGGAGGGGGAAGAACCGCGGGAAAAAAAGCACTGCTAGCAGGGGGGTGGCCCAACACAGCCTCAGTGACAATAATAATGATGATGGCTGGGTTCGTTTGGGAGAAGAGGAACAGTATTCCAAGTGGATCAGGCATTTTGATGAGCCAGTTGGATACTGTGGAGACAGGGATCTGTCAAATTCAGAACACATTCATTTTGTGTGAGTTTTTTTGGGATGAGGAATTCTGGACCCTCATCACAACTGAAACTAACCGATATGCTCACCAGTATTTAAAGAGGGAAGAACTGAAATCTAGCTCCAGATATGACTGGTACGATGTAACTGTCCCAGAAATGAAAGTGTTCATTGCCATTCAGTTCTGCATGGGGTTTGTGGAATAGCCTGAGATTGAGGATCATATATATATATATATATATATATATATATATATATATATATGATTAATTATAAACAAAATAAACCAAAGAAGGGATGAGTGAAATGTGTTCATGACACTGAAGCACCAAAAACAGTGTTCTTGATTGATACGCAGTAAATATAACAAAATACCAATAAAGTAATAAATATTATATATATACATAGTTATATATGTCTACATAGGAATATGTATATATGTATCATAAACAATAACAACACTAAGAAAATAAGACAACAACATAAAAAATACATTACAAATCTGCAAATGTGATGCAACCCAATATGGCTGCCACCTGATGACACCACAATATGCAAATTATGTGAGTGAATTGGTTCCTATCACAAAACTTGGCTCATACTGAAGATTTATCTAATTTACAATATTCCTCTATCTCTAACCAGATTTAAGCTTCAAGCTCTTTAAATGGTGATATAAAAAATTCATATTTTACTGACAAAACTATGGCGCCTAAAGGGTTAAATTTTGGAACTGATAAACAAGTACAAAATTCAACCATTTGAAAAAAAAATGATTTCAAATATTTTAAATATTAATAATCCATTAATAAATGTATTGGAAATATTTTCCATCACTGAAATGTGATTCAAATTAATTAATTGAAAACAGTCACCATATAACTATTTAAAACTATAAGATAACCCATTGAAAAATCCATAAATGTGCATAACACTGCAAATGTTTAGTAGTCTCTCTTGAACTTTTTGGAATAAATATATATATAAACTAGAAATATTTAAGAAAAAGTCAAATACAGGCCAAAGAAATGATTAAGCTAATTATAATTAAAGATTTGTGCACATAAAAAACATATCAACATAAAGTGTCCTCTTTTGGGATCATAGTGTATCTGTTCTCTAAAAAATCATTCACTTAATTTTAAATAAAAACAATAATTGCTTAAAACAAATGTAAATCTCAAAATATATTTTAAAAAATCAAAAAGAAGACTGAAATGTTAACATTACTGCACTGAACAGAGTGTTTTTACAGACCTTTCAGTGACACACTTGGGCTTGTGCTTCACTGAGGATCTTTTTCATCCTTGGTGGCAGGGAGGCAACTGCTGTGATCAAGCTCTTTTCTAGACACGGTCTGCTTCTCTGCTTTGTCTTGATCAGTGTCATTGCAGAGAAGGAGGCCTCGCATAAATATGTGGAGGCAGCGGGTAATAGCTGCTCCAAAGCTTTCTGTCCCATGTCATGTGCTTCTGCTTCACATACACCCAATACTGTGAAAGAGTGCACATGGAAAACTTCATCTGGAGGCCACGGTCAATGACACTTCCAAGAGTTTTTCCTGATAGGTGACAGGGAGCTTTCTTTGGTTCACCTCAGACAAGAGAAATGGGTTTCTCACCCAATCCAGCTGTGCAGATTTCTCCTCCATGTCAGGAAAATAGGAATGAAAATCCTGAGTCAACTTGGTCAAATGTTCCACGATGATCTACTTGACCTGTGCTCTGTCCACATCCTCACTAGAGAGAAAATCATCCATCTGAGGAAAGCAGGTGAAATCCTCCTGTGCACAGGCCCTCCTGCACAGTTCTGCTTTCTTCAGGAAGCCACCCACCTTGACATACAGGTTTAAAATGCTGGAGTTTTTGCCCTGCAGAGATGTGTTCAGTTCATTCAGTTTGCTGAATATATCTGCCAGATAACAGCTTTGCAAGCCAATCTGTGTCCTGGAACGAGGTGGCATGGGGAGATCTGTGCTCAGTCAGAAAGGCGTGTACTTCGGATCTTAATTCCAACAGCCGGTTGAGTATTTTCCCTCGAGAGAGCCAGCGCACTTCTGTGTGCAGCACAGCAGCAGTTGTGTGTGTTCAGCTCCCATATTTTCGCAGAGGCGGGAAAACAGGCGCGCATTAAGTGGCCTTGACTTAATGAAGTTGATCACTTTGATGCTGCTGTTCAAAACGTCATGTAACACAGGTCTCATTTTCTTGGATGCCAATGCTTCCCTGTGTATGACACAGTGAGTCCACATCACGTCGGGGTTTTCTTTTTTAATGCACGCTATCAGCCCTTTCACGCGGCCCGTCACTGATGCTGCCGCGTCTGTACAGATGCTGCTGCAGGATTTCCAGCTCAAACCATATTCACAGAAAGTGCCATTGACAACATTAAATATGTCCTCTCCTGTTGTTTTCCCTTCCAAGCTTTTGCAGAATAGTATGTGCTCATAAATGTCATCAGCATCAACGTACCTCACAAAAGCAACAAGTTGTGCATTTCCACTGACATCTGTGGATTCATCCAGCTGGAGTGAAAAGGAGTCGCTAAGTTTTCCCACAACTTGCTCGACAGTGTCTGTTCCCATTTTATCAGTTCTGCGGCAAATAGTGTTGTTTGACAAAGGCACGGTCTTTAATTTCTCTGCTGCGCGTTTGTCCAGCATAGTCTCAGCCAGCACTACAGCTGCTGGAAGGAGAAGGTCTTCAGCGATGGTGAATGGCTTCTTGGCTTTAGCCATGAGCAAAGCCACTGCATAAGACACCTCCAGGAGGCCTTCCGCATCGTGTCTTGAGATGATCTGAATTCAGACAGTTTCCTCTTAAAAAAATCCGGTGGTTTACCAACATGACATCCATGTTTTGTCGTAAGATGACGCTGCAGATGTGCTGGCTTCATGCTACTGTTAGCTAATTTCTCCCCACAGAAAAAACAGCGCCTTGGGTGGGTTGCAACTAGTGGAAGAAAATCCAAATAAAACATAATCTTCAAGATACAGCCGGAATTTTGCCGGCTCTGGTTTGGCCTTCTTGGCCACTTGTCCCTCCATGTTTTCCAAAGAATTGCTGCTGCGCTTCAGCCACGTGTCCATCGCTGATACAAGTGACTGACTGGTGATGCCAGGCGTTATATGACAGGTTGGAGTTAACCATCCTGGTATGGGGAAGACTCTGGGATT